GGGACTTAAGGTTATAAATGGTCTCATGACACTTTCCACTGACAAAAAAAAAAAAAAAAAAAATTACATAGATAAAGCCTCTTCGTAAAGTGTGGGCTGTACTTGTCAGAACAATTTTTTGTATCTCTTTGAGGCATGGACTTCCAGGAATCTCTTCAATTAGTCTATTGCAATCTTTTCCAACCAGTCCTAGGGCTCCAACTACAACAGGGATTGTTGATGTTCCCATATGCCACATTTTCGAGATTTCTATTTCAAGGTCCTTGTATTTTGACAGCTTTTTGAATATTTTCATAGATACATTGCAGTCAGCAGGGACTTCCATACCAATAAGGAGGCACTTTTTTTTGTTTGTGGTCTTTAATAACAAATTCTGGGCGGTTGGCTTTTATTGTTCTGTCAGTGTGTATTGTGTAGTCCCATAGAATTGTAACAGGTCCTATCTCCGTAACCGGGTCTGTGTGGTGTTCATACCAGTTTCTTTCAGTTTCCTTCCCGTAGAAGTTGCAGATTTTCCAGTGCAGTGCCCACTCTATCATGTCGGGTTTTATATTCAGTGGGTGCCAACATCGTGCAACCTGATACAAGATGATCAATCGTTTCTCGATATTTATCACTTATTATTATTATTATTATTATTATTATTATTATTATTATTATTATTACGGAATATATATAATTATGTACGTATTGTCTCCTCCTTTCCCAAGTAATATTATTCTGTCATATTTCATCCACAGAATATAAAGCCCAAGAGCCACTCAAGATAGAGGCTTGCAGAATGAAGTTGTTGTTAAGCATGGAGGAAATACGTAGTGCATAATATAAGGATACGTGGACTAGGTTGACCGTAGACTTGAAGATTGTAGTGATCGGGGAATCTTCGTAGTGGATGTTTGTTCCACAACGTAACAGTTATTGAAAAGAAGCTGTCCGTATAGAATTTCATCTTTATCAATGAAACACGATAGATTGATTAATCGATTGTTTTAACGGTATATCAACTCCTTATAGGTCATTTAATACCAAAATTTAATTTTCTCGGGAGTTTTATAATAAGCAATAAAAATATGATATGTTATTCTGCTTTTTAATTAAGGCCCCTGTCAAACCAATGATAAGGGCAGTTTTACGTTTCAAAATGTTTGTGACTTTGATTTGAAGGTCTTTATAATTGGAAATCCTTTGTTATTATTTCTTTTGTTTTCCGTTTAGCGGCTTTACGTTTTACTTAGATAAATCTCTTGTGTGAGCTTTACTTGTAACTACAATCATTTATATTAATTTAAGACATGAACTGCCAGGAGTCCCTTCAATAAATAATTTTCGAGATTTGCACATCAAGATAGTTGTATTTTGATGGTCTTTTTGAAGATCTTCAATGATACATTACTATTTGCAGGGACTGGCATGTTAATAAGAATTCACATTCTGTTTTTATGTTGTTTTTTTTTTATCACGATGTCTGGGCGATTAAATCTGATTGTTTTATCTGTGTGTATTGTGGAATCCTATAAAACTGTTACGCGTCCTGTCTCTGTAATCCGGTCTAGGTGACGTTTATACCAGTTTGCTGCAGTTTCCATCCCGTAAAATTTGCATATTTTCTAGGGGAGATATTGGCCCATTCTATCATGCCGAGATTTATATTCAGTGGGTGCTAACACTGTGCAACCGGATTCAAGATGGTCAATTGTTTCTGGATATTTACCGCAGAATCTGTATTTCCGTTTAAAATAATTTTTCAATATGTGTGATTGGCAATTTCTAGTCAGCAAGTATTGGTCCCGTGCAGATAGAATGAAACACTCGGTTTCAGCTTTTAACCCTGAACTACGTAACCCCCGATGCGTACGGGCTTTGTCTACATCAGCTGTTTGGTATAAGCAGAGTATTAATAGTGAAGGCGCTTATTTTGCCATCATTTCTGTATTTGGTACATTGGATTTGGTTTGACTATCATTTTTAACTTCTTTATCATTGCACTAGGTGGATTATGATATTTGCAATATCTTCACCCACTTGAAATTCCAATTTGGATTAGTTGGCGTCCTTTATGTAAATAGATAAAGATTATTCTTTCTTTCATATTCTTTGAAAGAGATCACCATACACTCTTCTATAGTTCCCAGGTACCTTTAAAGACCGATTGGTTTGATTTTGTAAGACAATTCTAGTTGAAATAATTCTCTACTTCCTTCGGGTCTGGGCACATACAGATGATCAACATCAGTGTTAAAATGCAGTGGAAAGTGAGAAGATTTCTTGTTTTGGTATTCATTCAATTAATGTCAGCTATCGTCCAGTTAAGGATGTTGAAACTGCATTGCCCCACAAGTTCAGCCAAAGTGTTTGTCTGTTATTCTGTTTTGTGAATTCAAATCGGCATTTAACACCAGACGCACGTCTACCTAGTATTCTTTTCTTACTTTCTCATTCATTTGGGTATAACGTATTCCATTTCCTTCGCTGACTCTTATTAATTTTCATGGTTAAAAATTACCAGCAATAGATTTTCATAGTTAAAAATTACCAGCAATACATTTTCATAGTTAAAAATTACCAGTAATAGATTTTCATAGTTAAAAATTACCATTTTTTCATAGTTAAAAATTACCAGCAATAGATTTTCATAGTTAAAAATTACCAGCAATACATTTTCATAGTTAAAAATTACCAGTAATACATTTTCATGGTTAAAAATTACCAGCAATAGATTTTCATAGTTAAAAATTACCAGCAATACATTTTCATAGTTAAAAATTACCAGTAATACATTTTCATAGTTAAAAATTACCAGCAATAGATTTTCATAGTTAAAAATTACCAGTTAAAATTACCATTACCAATAATACATTTTCATAGTTAAAATTACCATAGTTAAAATACATTTTTTCATAGTTAAAAAATTACCAGCAATAGATTTTCATAGTTAAAATTACCAGCAATACATTTTCATAGTTAAAAATTACCAGTAATACATTTTCATTAAAAATTTAAAAGTTAAAATTACCAGTAATACCATAGTTAAAATACATCTTTTTTTGTAAAAGAAATTAATTATATTCCCAAGGAAATTAAATTTCGGCATTAAATGTCCCATAAAGATTTGCTATGTTGCTAAACAAACAAACAGACTTCTTTCTTTCTTTCTTTCTTTCTTTCTTTCTTTCTTTCTTTCTCAATTATTTTTATTCATTTATTTTACTCATTTTTAAGTTTCTGTAGTTCAATTTTTTCTTCACCTTATGCATTTTTCCCATAATTCCTCAGTTCAATTTTTAATTAATTCATTATTTTATGTCTTTTATTTTAAGTAATCTTTCTTATCTGTTAATGTTTCATTCTTTCATTCTTTTTTTTCTTTACTTCTTTCTATCTGGTTTCAGAACTCACGTCCTTTTAGTCTGTTATTGTTTATATGTTCACAGATTTCAGTCACTTTTCTACGGCAGCAACGTAGCTTCCCTGAGCCTTTTCTATAAATATTTTTATGGTAATTGTTTTGATGAGATTTCCTCTATGGTACTTAGACTTTATGAAATTGAGCACAGTACTAAATTGGCGGCAAAGTCTCATCATTTTAATCGAAATGACTAGATCTAACCGTAGGTCCTATGCTATCAGTTTCTAGTATCGCACTTCGCACATGTGGAACTCTCTTCCGACTTCTTCAAAAAAAATTGTCTGTCTTTATAGTTCTTGTTCTTTTATTGTTCTCTCTCATTTTTTTTTTTCATATTCTTTAACACTTAGTAACCGTTTGCGTCTTAGTTGCTTTATTTCCATACTTGGAGGTAAATGGTTAAAAATAATATTCCAATTTTCAGTAAGTTTTCTTTATGCTAGCTTTTTTCTATATATTCGATTAGTTTCTTTTTTTTTTTACTTCTTTTTTACTTAACCTGCGATTTTCTTTCTTTCTTTCTTAAGTCGTCTTTCTATCTGGTTACACAAGTTCAATTCGTCCAGTCTCTCCTTATTTATATATTCACAGGCTTCAGTCTCCTTCCCAATGCCGTAAAGTAGGTTCTCTGTACCCTTTCTATAAATACTTTCAGGGTAATTGTTCTGATCTTCCCTTTATAACATCAATATCTTATGAATTGAAGCGGAGAACTTTACTTGCGGCGAGGTCTCATCATTGTACAACTGAAATGGCTAGATGTTACTGTAAGTTCTGTGCAAAGCTATCAAAATGTAAATGCAATGTCAATTGTCATCTTCTTAATGCTTGTTTGTCGCTTTATAACACTTATTAACCCCATCTGCTTCTCGGTGGCTTTATTGCCTTTTTACAGATGAAATGATTCAAAGAAATATTTCAACTTTCAGTAAGCTTTCTTTTTCCCAGCTTTAGCCCTTATATTCGTGTTTTTCGTTCGTTTATATACTGTACATATGAAAACTAATGGATATGTCCCAATCCTCATAAATACGTTGGACACTATTGTAAGTGGGGGTAATACGCTAAGTAGTCCACCACAAGCAGTGGTTTACCTACTTCACGCCGCTGGCGAGTATTATATTTTGTTGATGTTATAAAGATTACCATTTCATTTCCAAACCTCGTTTTGGTTATTCCTCATTCAGTAATCTTTTTCTTAGGTTATAACACTTTCCGAACGTACTTTTTTCACAGCAAGAGATTTTTTTTTACCTCCGTTTATTTTTTTATTTTTTTTCTTTCTTTACATCTTTCCTTCGTTTCTTTATTTTTCTTTCTTTATTTATTTTTCTTTCTTTCCGTCGTTTCATTCTTTCTTCATTCTTTCCTAACTTATTCCTTCATTTCATTTCTTTTTCTTTCCTTTCTTTCTTCCTTTCTCTCTTTCTTAATTATTTATTTTATTCTTATTTATATTTCCTCAATATGGATTAATTCATCTTTTTTTACGTTTATATTCCACTCCCAAATTCCAATATTCCTATTAATTCATTGTTTAACATATATTCTTTTTACAATATTTCCCCTGTTATCTATAAATTCTGCATACGTTATGTTCTTCTCCCTATATTTTTCTGCCTTTTCTTGTTACTTACATATACTTTTTCAGCATGTTTGCTTTCTCAGTAGTTTTTTTCTTAAATACAATTATACATTCTGAAAACTTCTTTCTTGTTTTAGATATGTGTTTATTTGTTTTCTTTCTTTCATTCTTTCTTTCTTTCTCATTGCCCTGTAAACATCTTACTCTCGCATTATCTCGTTCTTCTCTCGCCATCTTTCTAGATAGTATTTTCATCTTCTTCATCTGACTATAGTTCCTCTCTCTCTCTCTTCTTTCTTTCTACCCCCGAGATTTGTATTTTATATTTTCGGCACATTTTATCCACTTATTTCTTACTCTTGAATATTCATCCCATTTCTTTGTTCTCTGGTCCCAATCCTCCTATCTTGTTCCAGTTCTTCTTACCTTTATCCATTTTCTGACAATCCCTTCTTCCTTCTGTTTTTCCTTGTCGTCTGCTTTTCCCATTCTCCGAGGCCGTATTTCGTTACTCGTAATTTCTGACTGTTCGAGTTATAACAAAATAAAAAGTATATTCTTTTGTAAAATTCCACTACGTGTTGATCACTTAGTTTATATTCACCTTTTTTCTCTTAATTTCTATTCTACCTTTAGACAAATTTTAAAATCCTCATTTCTATTTATCGTCTATGCCATTTCGCTTTTTCATTCATTCGTTCACATTTTTGTTACAATGTCTAGTCATTTTCCTTTAACAGTTTCTTTTTATAGGTTTTCGTAATAATTCTCTTTCTACGCCATTTTAAAAATTTCAATTCATACTTTCTTTTCATGGGTTTTTATAAAGTCCTGTAGTTGTTTATATATTTAATTTATAATTTTCATTTTTCTTCAATATATCTTGCTTTTTCAGTGAACGTATTAGTATCGTTTTTAGATATGTTTGACTTATTCAATTTTTTCTTTTCACTTTTTCCTTTTTTTATTTTCCATTTCTTTTCGTCTTTCTTTCTATCTTTCTTTCTTTCTTTCTTTTTCCTTCCTTCCTTCTTTCCTTCTTTCTTTCTATTACTTCCTTCCTTCCTTCCTTCCTTACTTCTTTCTTTCTTTCTTTTTCTTTCTTTCTTTCTTTCTCCTTCCTTCCTTCCTTCCTTCCTTCCTTCCTTCCTTCCTTCCTTCCTTCCTTCCTTCCTTCCTTTTTCCATTCCTCACATTCCGATATTCTTTTTCGTTCTGTTTCTACATTTTTTTTTCTTTTTTATATTTTTAAATGCCATTTTTACCTTTTATTCGAGACATTTTCTTTGTATTGCTTTATTTCTATTTCTTTGTTGTCTGTTTAATTTTTGAGTGAAGCCATGTTTTCATTCGACATCTTTTCCTTTCTTTGTTTCATTCATTTTCACTATTTTGTATTCATTTTTTGTTTTCTTGTTTTTATGTGTTTTTTTTTATATAGTTTTATTTGTCCTTCATTGGGCCTCAAGTCAATTATATCTTTATTCAACATTTTTTTTTCCATTTTTCTTCCATATATCTCATTTTTTTCTATGAAGGTCATAAAACCGTTTTTTTTTCCATATTTCCTTTTCACCTTTTCATTTTTTTACATTTTCCATCCCTTTTCGTATTTCATTCTTTTCTTTCATTCTTTCCTTTCCTCTCATTCAGTTATACTTTTTCCTTCTGCTTTTCTATTTTCTTCTTTTTTTTATATTCAAGATATTTTCTTTCTGTTAATTTATTTCTTCCTCCTTGTCTGTTTATCTTTTGCGACCTGTTTTCTCTCTACATCTTTTTATAATTTTTTTTTCATTCTTTCCTTCTTTTTTCCGCCGTTTGCAGTATTTTTTGCTTTTCGCAATTTTTTAAATATTTATTTTTTCGTGTTTCTTGCTCATTTTTTTTTTTTAATTTTCTTTTTTTTTTTTAATGCCCGTTAAGTTTTAGTGGATATCTCTTCTTTACCCAATTTTTTTATAATTACTTTTTGCTATCTAAATGCTATATGCTTTCTTTTTTTTCTATTCTTTTCGTCTGCCTCTTCTGTCTCTTTCTTTACTGTTTAGTTTTTAATTAGTCTCGTTACATTATTTTATGAAACTAAATTTTTTCTTCATTTTTATATTTCTATCCTTTCTTAGGTTACGTTAACTAATATTCCTATAATGTTTCTTTTTTTTATCCATGTTTCATATCTTTCCTTTCGCTTCCTCTTTTCTTTCGTTACGTAAATTCAGCCTTTTTAACCCTTACTCTTTTCGCTTTTTCACTGCTTAACCTGCCTCACCTCTTCCTCTACTCTTCTTAATTCGGTTCGATAACGCCGAGAATAACATAATAGCAGGTTCCTGCTTTCATTTAATTCCATTCTAAGATTTGATTTTATCTGTTTTATTTAACAGGAATAATTTGTTGTTTTTTTTTTACCCCATCAATTCTTCATTTGGCTGCCTTTAGGCTGCTTTTAAAATTACAACTTGTTTATTCCTGTTACACAAACTCCGCCCGCTCTTTGCTAGACCCTAATGGCGTGTCATAATGGACATGCGCATGCGTGAACGTGCAAGCCAGTGTCTGTAAGCGTTTTCTTTGAATCTTCAAGAATAACGCATCGTTTCCACAATATACTTTTATAAATATCTACATCAAAAAATGCATCGGAGATGTTAAATCATAACGATGATAGTTTCAGGCTAAATTTCGATATATTTATTTCTATTTGCAACCTTCGTAAGTTCTGGATATTTGCACCAAAGTTATCATTGCATATCTTCCCAGGTTGAATGATGACATAGCGTGAACAAATTACAAGGTATCCTACTTACGTATTAATCCTCTTTTAAAAGTTACGGATATATATATATATATATATATATATATATATATATATATATATATATATATATATATATATATAAAAAAAGCCATGAATAATCCTTTTTTTTATCTTCCCACCGATATCCGATTCTTTAAATCTGATTGTTCACATTATCACTGATAGAGTTTGTGCATTTCTCACATCGGTAATTACAAAATTGGAAAGATTTTTTTTTTTATCTATGGCCCATCTTATCATTAAATCTACATTCTTCCATTCAGTGTAAATGCTAGAATTAGCCGTTTCTTTACAAGTATCAAGCGGGGATCATTTACGGCTCTTGAAATTTGTTAAATATTTTTCATAAAGACAGGCTAGATATAAGTTCTATCCTAACGCTATCTTTTCTCGGAAATTTCGCTTGTGGAACTCCCTCCCGGCTCCATGTTTTCCAGCCAACTTTAATCTGCAAAAATTTAAATGCTTTCGACTGTCCTGATTGCTCTTTCTTCTTCCCGGTTGTAATTAATGTTCCTGTTTTCCGTCTTGGTTGCTTTACATAAGTTTCCCTATTCCGCGTCGCGTGCTATACATAGGCTTCTCATTTTATAAATCTAAGCGCAGTCCTCGACTGGCGTAGAGATCTCATCAGTTTACAACTGATCTGTCTAGATGTAGCCGTAAGTTCTATGCTAACATTTCTTCTCCCGTACTTCCCGCTCGTGGAGCTCCCTTTCGAATTCATGCTTCCCAGCCAACTTTACTCTGAAAAAGTTTAAATGCAATGTCAATCGCTATCTACTGTCCTCTTGATTACTCTTTTCTCTTCCCGTTCATTAATTACGTTTCTGTTTCTAATGCTTCCACATCCTGTAACTCCCTTGTACCTTAGTGGCTTTACTATATAGGGTACAAATCCTATATTCCAACAAATTACTAAAAAAACACAAAGTAGATTTGCACACCCGCAAAATCGGATCAAAACGACTAAAAACAGATTTCACAAGGTGTGAAATTAATTTTCTGACCAATGAAAGGAGGCGATTTGCTAAACCAAAAAAAAAAAAAAGATAACGAGCCAGTGTGAAAAAAAAGTCAACAATAAATACAGAGTTTTCAAGTCAGTCGCCAGTCAATCAGTCAGAGAAGGGCGCAAAAGATCACAGAAGATTGGCAGTAAATTTCATCACTGACTCAAACTCACACAAAGAGCCGAAAAGTGGAGTAGGAAGGAACAACAACAACAACAACAACAAATTTACAACTGACTTCAAAACAATTCATAAGTACATTTTCCTTTTATCTCTATTCCTCATTCACACTCTCTTTTTCAACTTAAATTGCTCGCCCCTTTTTCATTTTTACAACTATACAAAACAAAAGAAACAGACATTATTCTGCTATTCTGTTAAAAGACAGCGAACACAGACATTTTTATCAAAATCACATTTTTGTTTAAACGAACTAAAACAGTAATCTTTTTTACCCTATTCACAAGATAATAAATATACAATGTTCTATTTTTTATAAACGTTCCTTATCGTGTTGTTTCTTCTTGAAATTTGCGTTGTATTTTGTGGGCAGGGTCCCGTTATTAAATTCTCCTTTAATCCGGGTACGCTGAACCCCACAACTACTATGGGCTGGGGGGATATCGATTTAAAACAATTAGATTCCTCATTTGTATTGCTATCATTCTTTCTCGTATTGATGGTAGATATTTCTTCCAAACCTTGGGGGAGGGGGCTAGTTTATAAAGTTTACAACTTGACGATATCATTGTTTTATTTTCTAGATATATATTTGCTATCCGGCCCGGAATTAAAAATCAAAGAGACGTGTTCGAATTCCAAAACGGATCCTTTACATTCACTTGCATTGATTTATTCGCAAATACCCTTAGCAAAGGGGTGAGTCCATCTCCTTACCCAGCTGTCGGTCAAATAATTAGAACCTGTATCTGGAGAAATAAAATGTAATTTGCCCCTACCCACCTCCAAAATATTCTTACAGTCCAAAATATGTTTTCGCTTAAAAAAATGTTGATAAGCAAAAATAAATAAATAAAAATAAAAATCATTTAATATTTGTTTCGGAGTTCGATCCTCACTGGGTGCCCCATACTTTCGGCCTTCTGTTACATCCACGCTACATATAGAAAATCGCAATTATTTTTTTTGTTTCGAGCGAGCTTCCTGATTCTGCTTATTGCCAAGTATAGAAAAGTCGTTTTTATTTTTTGTCTAGGGTGGAATGAACTTACGAACAAAATTCTATTTGAGTTTGAATGCTTTCTTTCTTTCATTTTTCGTTATTGGGTTTTCATTGATGTTTATGAGAATCGAATCGAAAAAAAAGAATAAAAGTGATAACTGTACATAGTGAAATTTTATGCCATTTTTTTTCCTTTTGCGAATACGTGGTATTGTGGTAAATATTGGTTTGAGTGTAGAAGTTCTGTAATGTTCTGAACTGGAGGCACAAAAATAATTGACCTCGCTTGAACTACTACTACTGTACTGATACGGCATTCACCCTGGGCGGATTGAGCCGGCTTCCTGTTGTGAGAAGAAGATTCTTGGGATAAATTACAGAAGTAGGGTACCCAGGCCTACTCGGATAACGTTCTTGCTTGCCGCGGAATTCCCATAGACGCAGAGACAGGAACGACCAGAAGCCGCCGGTTACCGACGCAGACGCTCCTTGGATTTTCACCAGAGCCCTTGTTAGCCGGCGTGTGTGTCAGACCTGTCCGCCTTGGGTGGCCCTACCAGGAACGAAGTTCCGGGCTGCATAGCTCTGACTCTACCGTTTACACCCCCCCACCACTTTGGGGGCTTACAGTACCAGGTGTTCCCAAGCGGTCCCCCATCTAAGTACTGACTTGGCTACGATGCTTAACTTTGGTGATCGAACGAGAACCGGTCTTTCAGCGTGATTTGACCTCGCTTGAACAGTTGCAATTGAATAACGATAGGCTTCCGATGTTTTGTCTCTGGGAAAGAGAATGCATGGTGAAAAATACGTTCCCCTCTACAAAGCCGCGTAAAAGTTTATGAAATCTGTCAAGGCTGGAAAGTGAGGATTGCGTAGCACTGATCTAGCAAAAATACTCCTTTCTCTTTTCCTTTTTCTTTTCTGGTCTGAGCTTAATATTGTAAAGTTAGAGCATGACATCAGGAGCAGTAGAAGCATCTGGCCATTTTATCAGCATCATTTGTGATGGATCCTCTTGATGACGACAGCGAACATCATTTCCAACAGACGTTCAATGCAAAGAAACTCGTTAAGCGTGTGACCGTTTGTCGTGCCTGGAGAAAATTCAGAGAAAATTCAGGATTTTCTCGGTGATTCTTGAGTCTAGTTTGGCTTTTGATATATTCAGTTTTTCTTTCATCCTTTTCAAGATTACATTCTATTGAAAAACAACAAAAACAGTAATGCGATTTATAAAATCATTCCATAAGCAAAGTGTTTGAAATATTACTCGCTTAATAGTATGTGCTTTACGTTGTTTTTTTGTTTTGTTTTTTTTTTTTTTTTTTTAAAGTAACTTTTCTATCGGCTAGTTTGACTTATATCACCGATGGAAAATTTTAATCAAAAAGTGTAAATTTTTATTGATTTTAATTACATTTATTGATTTATTGGAATACAGAAGGGATACTTGTTTTTATTTCTTTGAAAATTAGTATTATTATTATTGTGTTTTTTTTTCTTTGGTTTCTGGTGTGTACTCATTTATTTCCGGCTCCCGCCTAGAGACCTACAGTCAGAAATGGCATCATGACTTTTTCCATTGAGCAGATTTGAAAAAAAAAATTGCACATATTTTGAATAGTTAAAGCTTTTCGTAAGGTGTGGGATGTACTTGTCAGCACAATTTTTTGTATTTCTATAAGGCATGGGCTACCATGCATTTTTGAGATTTTATCATTATTATTATTATTATTATTGCTGCTGCTATTGCTGCCGATGTTATTATTATTATTATTATTATTATTAAGATTGCTGCTGCTGGTGGTGTTGAAATTGTTATTATTTTTATTATTGTTGCTGTTATTATTAATATTATTGCTTTTGTTATTATTATCATTGTTATTGTTATTATTGTTGTTACTGCCGCTGCTATTATAATTGTTATTATTATTATTATTATTATTATTATTATTATTATTATTATTATTGCTGCTGCTGCTGTAGATATTGTTATATTTTTTTATTATTGTTGTTATTATGATTTTTATTATTATTATTGT